GCGGAGCTCAGGGAACTGTATTGGATTGTCTGCGTGCAAGGCAAACGCTCTTCCCTGCTGTACTATTGCTCTAACCCCCAAACTTCTGGTCTTTTGCCAACAAAGCAGATGCTTTTTCAGCCACGGAGCTGTCCTTGGGGGTCCCCACATTCGCAGTTCTTACAGAACCAGTCTGGAACCTGGGCCGATCCCATTTCCCCGTGACACATCAGAACGGAATGGCAGGGCTGGGCCAGAATCCTTATCAGCCTGATGACGGAGTGCAGTGTCCTTTTGGCCTCTCTGTGATTAGGTGCGTGTGTGACGTGATGCTCTTCACTCATCACTCCTGAGTCAGTGCTGTCGGTCACCCCTCTCCCCACATCTCCAATCTTTATCTCTTCCACTCCTCGCTCACCACATTTCTTCTTCCCTGGCCTGATTATGGACTCAGCCTCCCTTGGTTATCTTTCCTGCTCCTAAGTCCCCTCTTTCTCTTAGAATGTGTGTGTGTGTGTGTGTGTGTGTGTGTGTGTGTGTGTGTGTGTTTATGAGCCACACCTGGCTGTGCTCAGGGCTTCCTCCTAGCTCTGTGCTCAGTGATCACTCCTGGGAGTGCTCAGGGGACCTTTTGGCATGCCAGGATCAAATCCGAGGCAGCTGCATGCAAGGCAAACTAAAGCTCTACCCACTGTGCTATCTCTTTGGCCCCTTTCTCTTTGAATTTTGTTAGACAGTTTAACAACACGTTTCTCTAAACTTGCAAGCATTTATCGTTCATATTGAAAGAAGTTCTCTTTTTGTGCCAGCCTCTGTATTACTCTGTTTTGGAGAGTTTGCGCAGACTATTCAAATAAAATCTTCCCTAAAGTGGGGCTGGAGTGATAGCACAGTGGGTAGGGCATTTGCCTTGCACACAGCCGATTTCCAGCGTCCCATAGGGTCCCCCGAGCACCGCCAGGAGTGATTCCTGAGTGCAGAGCCAGGAGGAACCCCTGAGCATTGCCGGGTGTGACCCAAAAAGGAAAAAGTCTTCCCTAAAGTGCCTGGGAGATGATGCAAAGGACTGAGACGGGTGACTTGCATGTGGGACCCCCAGTTTAATTCCCATCATAGCATGATCCTCCGAATCCCACTGGGGACCTTCCTGAGCACTGAGTCTGGACTAGCCCTTGAGCACCACCAATGGGATGCCAAGGATCGAACCAGGTGTGTGCAAGGCGAGTGCTCTACCCACTCTGCTACCCCTCCAGTTCCCAAGTTCACAATTTTTAAAAATTCATTTCCGCTTTCTCCTTCCCATTGTGGCCAGTGCCGTTGCATACCCTGAACATCACATTAGTGGTATAATAAAAATCCCTTCCAAAGGAAAAAATCCTTCCTACGATTAAAAATTGAACAATAATAATAGCACTATAGCACTGTAACACTGTCCTCCCGTTGGTCACTGATTTGCTCGAGTGGGCACCAGTAACGTCTCCATTGTGAGACTTGTTACTATTTTTGGCATATTGAATATGCCATGGGGGGCTTTCCAGGCTCTGCCGTGTGGGTAGCTTGCCGGGCTCTCTGAGAGGGATGGAGGAATTGAACCTGGGTCGGCCATGTGCAAGGCAAATGCCCTACCCGCTGTGCTAATAAAATAATAATTGGTAATAATTATTGTTAACGCCTTGTAGTACCAGGGATTGAACCCAGGCCTGTGCGTGAAGCATGATTCCACCTTGTCCTGGCGCAGACCCATTATTCAGACAAACAATCATGATTACTCTCACGTTTCTTTTGGGGGGAGAGGGTCACACCCGGCGATGCTCAGGGGTTCCTCCTGGCTCTGCACTCAGTATTTACTCCTGGCGGTGCTCATGGGACTCTATGGGATGCTGGGGATCGAACCGGGGACTGTCACAGGCAAGGCAAACGGCCGCCCCGCTGTGCTATCGCTCCAGCCCCTACTCTCACACCTTGCGTGTTTCCCATAGGGCAGGCAGCTGCTCCCATTCCCTGCGTGCCTTTGACCATGGACGCCCATGATGTGACAGGCATGTTCCCCATTTTGGGGTGAGGCGGTGGCGGGGACTGTCTTTCTGCTTCCTAAAGCAAAGCAGGGAAGCTGAGCTCGGCACTTTATTGGGGAACAGACTTCCTCCAGGGCGCTGTGAGGCCTGGGCTCCCTCCCTGTGTGTGTAGGGGGGCCTGGAAGTGTGGGGGATGGGAGCTCCCCGCCTGGGTCCAGCTGCAACCCTTCCCCACTTCTTCAGAGGTTGGAGGAGGGGCCTGAGTCCATTGGAGAGACAGTGGGGACTTTTGCTCCCCCTTTCTCCTGGACAGATGCTCTGCTTTGGGGATGAACACAGAGGGGAGGCCAGGAAGAGGCAGGGTGAGGGTCAGTTGATAGAGCCAGGGGGCTCTTGACTCCAAAGCCCAATGCCCTGAGATCTTCCTCCTTTCTGGTCTCCTTGTTCTTTCTTTCTATGGGGCAGGCACACCTGGCGATGCTCAGGGGTCACTCCTGGCTCTGCAGTCAGGGGACCATATGGAATGCCGGGGATCTAACTGGGATTAGCCATACGCAAGGCAATCCCAGGATTGCCCTACCCACTGTGCTATCTCTCTGGCCCCTGGTCCCCCTGTATTTGCTGCCATATTCGCCCCTGGATGGAAAGAAGGTCAATATACTAGAGGCTGTCTGGACAGACATGGAAGCCTCTTTGTGGTGTTCATTTGAAGATATCCTGCATAAATGGGTTACCCCCAAAATCAGGGGGTGGGGGTCTGATTCAAAGAGACATAGAATGGTGCCTGGGGCTGGGAGATCGCTTAGGGGTGGGGGTGCCATGCACAGGGACCTGAGGTCCATCCTAACACTGCATGGGCCCCTGGGCAATGCCAGGGTATCCCTGGTGGCCCCCAGCATTGAGTCCCCTGGCTCCATCAGCTGAGTCCCTCCAGCAGTGACTTCTGGGTCGTCTAAGTCCTGCTTTGGGGGCCCGCAGCCCCCTCCCCTCAAAACAAACAAACAAACAAACATTTGTCCCCTCCGCCCCCCAAAAAAGAAAACCAGCCAGAGGAAAGCGGCAAATGTCTTAAATAGAACAGAACGGGTCCTTAGACTGAAATCTGGATATGCCCAGGTTTCAGCTGCTTCTGTGTGTGTGTGTGTGTGTGTGTGTGTGTGTGTGTGTGTGTCTGAGTTTTCTCTTCTGTAAAACTGGGGGCTCACAGGCTGGAGATACAGCGGGTAGAGCATTTGTCTTACACGCGGCCGACCCGGGTTCAATTCCCAGCATCCCATATGGTCCCCTGGGCACTGCCAGGAGTAATTCCCTGAGTGCAGAGTCAGGCGTATCCCCTGTGCATCGCCAGGTGTGACCCAAAAAGCCAAAAAAAAATACCAACCCAACCCGGGGGACTCACAGCAGATTAGCTCTAAGGTCAATTAGGATTTTCATTCAGGGGGGCTTTTGGGGTCCCACCCAGCGTTGCTTGAGAAATGCTCCTGGCTTGTGGCACATTTCATACTCTGATCCCACTGATGTACCAAGACAGGGGCCTAATGGCTCCTGGGTGAAATGCAACAATCTTCACACACTTTCCTCTAAGGAAACTTTTTGGGATCTTTTTTTTTTTTTTGCTTTTTGGGTCACATCCGGCGATGCTCAGGGGTTACTCCTGACTCATGCACTCAGGAATTTCTCCTGGCGGTGCTTGGGGGACCATATGGGATGCTGGGAATCGAACTCGGGTCGGCCATGTTGGCTGCGTGCAAGGCAAACGCCCTACCCGCTGTGCTATCGCTTCAGCCCCTGGGATCATTTTTAATGGATTATTCAAAACCAGCAATACAAAACAAATGATTCAGGTCCTTGCTTTGGGGGCAGGTTTTGGGGGTCGGGGTGGAAACCTTCGAAATATGGTGGTGGGTAGGTGTGATTTAGGTGGTGGGATTGGTGTTGGGATATTAACTGTAATTAATTATTGTGAACAACTTTATAAAAATTAAATCTAAAAAGAAATACTGCTGGCTCTGTGCTCAGGGGTCACTCCTGGCAGTGCTCAGGGGATCATGCAGTAATGGGGGTTTGCATGTTCCCAGCCAGGTAGATAGTCGGTGAGAACCAGAGTATGAAATGTGTATGTGGGGTGAGGGGCAGGTGTCAGGCCCCCCCTACAGCACCCCTTCACCCCCTTGCCCTCAGGTCAGGACAGAAAGCCAAGGGATAAGGATGAGGAAGTACTCTGGGCCCAGAGAGATAACCCCAAAGGCTTAAACGCAGGCTTTGTGTGCAGAAATCCTGGGTTCAATCCCTGGAACCACACAGCCCCCCAACACTGCTGAGAGGCACCCCTTCTGAGATCCAGAAGGCGCCCCGGGAACACCCCAAAAGGAAAAGGACCAAAAGGATTCACTTGCTCTACAAGTTGAACCCTGCTTCCGTTGCTGCTGCGGTAAATCCTCAAGAAAGCGGAGATTTTGAGGGCTAGAGCAATAGCACAGCGGGTAGGCGTTTGCCTTGCACAGGGTTCAATTCCCAGCATCCCATAGGGTCCCCTGAGCACCTTCGGGAGTAATTCCTGAGTGCAGAACCAGCACGGGTGTGATCTAAAAACAAAAAAAAAGTGAGAGATTCTGGGGTGTCAATGGGGAACTCTGGGGGACCTGGGGGTCTCCAGGTCTCAGCAAGAGCTGCTCCCCCCTGGGAAAGGCTCTGAAAAGTTAGTCCTGGCCGGTGCACCCAGATGGTGCAGAATTTGGAACCCACGAACCACTCAAGGGGGAAAATGAAGGGGTGGGGGGGTGGCAGTCTGGGAGCTCCCGGGGGTCTGGCTGGGGGCAATCAGATGAGGGCCCCGAGGAGTGGGGGCCCCAAGACAGCTGGGGCCGGGCCCCTCCGTGCCTCTCCTGGGCCCCGAAGGGTTAAGCAGCCTCCGCCCTCCTCCTCCCCTCCCCGCACCTACTCTGCCTCCGCCCCCGGTTCTCTTCCTGCCATTGCAACACCCCATTCGCCCTCGCCCTCCTCCCACCTCCTCTGAACTCGGCTGAGTTTCTTCTCCCAGTCCCTCTTGGGGGGACGTGGCTGCCAGTCGCGGCCTGGGTTGGGGCTGGCGGGTGTCGGGGACCCGACCGACCGTCCCGTCTGCTCCCCGATCTCCGCGCTCCACCCCTGCGCCCTGGGGCACCTGCGTGGCCAGGGCGGGCCCTGGACTCCACGGCTGGCCCCGCCGCCACGTCCCTCGTCAGCGCCCTGATGGGGGAGTGAGCGACCCCGCTGGCCTGGCGGGTCATGGGCCTCCCCGCCGTGCCTGGCCTGCTGCTGACCCTGGTGAGTTGGGGGGACCCTGGGTGGAGGGGCTGGTGGGTGGGGAGCAGCGCCCAGGCCTGACCCGCCGCCGCCGCCGCCGCCGCCGCGGCCAGGCCGCACTTTCCAAGTTCAAGGCGGCCCCATTCATTCGCCCCAGAGTTGGCGGGAGGAGAGCAAAGGGATAAACCGAACCGAACCCGGGGGAGGTCAGCCCAGCCCCGGGGAGTTAGCTGGGGCCAGGCGGGCATTCAGGACCGGGCACCCCCACCTCCCCGCAGAGGGAGGGGGCGGAGGCGGGAGTGTTGGCAGGTGGGAAGTTCTGAGGGCCCAGCAGCCAGGATTCAGTCCAGAGCCGGCCCTGGGCAGTGGGCTGGCCCGGGCTGCTGGCCAGGGGGGGCCTGTCTGAGCAGGTCTCACTGCCGGGCTGCAGTGGGATGTGAGGGAAACGGGGAAACTGAGTCTAGGAGAGAGAGGGCTTGGCGGGCTTGGCTGGGAACCTAGTGGATTGGGGGCGGGGGCAGTGGGGTCGGGGCTTAAGGGGGGGTGGAAATGAGGTGTCCAGAAAGCCCCCTCTCTCCCACTCCCACCCCTGCCCGCCACCCCACCGTCTTCACCCACCTCTGCCTCTCCTCAGGCTCAGCCTCTTGGCAGGCAGTGAGGGGGCCCGTCTGCCACCCGCCCTTGGTGCCTGCTCCTCACCCCCCCACCCCACCCTCCACCCCCTCCTAAGGCCTCCTAAGGCCTGGGCAATATAATCCCTTGGCTTCTCCGGCCACGGTTTGGGGAAGTAGAAAGTTGTTTTCGTCACTGGAAAATGTCCCTTTCTCTGGCCTGTTCTCAACTTTTCCTCCGCGTCCCTCCCTTGGGGGTGCGGGGAGGGGGGGGGTCAGCCCCTGCTCTGAGGGCTGAGTCCCCCTCTGCCCCCACTTTCTTGGGGGATGCCCTGGGGCTCTGCCCTGCCCCTCCACATTCCTCCCTTCCCCCCTCCCCGAATCATACTTTTCTATGTGTCCCCCCAGAAATCTTCCACCGCTTGGACTTTCCCTGTTTGAAACCTTCTTCTCCCTCCATTCCTTCCTCATTCCAGACCCCCCTGCCCCGAACCCCCACGGCTTTAGACCCTAATGCCCCTGGCACCCTGAGCTCACAGCCCCATCCCTCCACTCCTCAGCCCTTCTCTTCTCTCCACCTCCCCCATTCTTCTCCGCTTCTCTCTGACCCCCCATCCAAGGGCCCTGGCATCTTCTGTCCTTTTTTTGGGGGGGTAGCGCACCCCCGTTTGGAGCCTGACTCCCTCACACGCTACTGTGATGACGCAATGCTGCCCCCCCCCACCCCTCCACCCCCAGGCTTGAGTTTCTCTTTCTCTAAAATGAACTATTTTCTCTAAAATGAACTATTTTTTTTTATATTGGCTTTTTTTGGGCTCACGCCTGGCGATGCACAGGGCTTACTCCTGCCTCTGCACTCAGGGATCACTCCTGGCAGTGTTCAGGGGACCCTATGGGATGTTGGGAATCGAACTCGGGTCGGCCGTGTGCAAGGCAAACGCCCTACCCGCCGGATGATTGAGAATTGAGAAGCTATTATGGGTGCCGTGGCAGAAGGGCTGCCCTAGTGTTGTTGAGATGTCACTCTCTGCTTTTTATTTCGCTTTCTGATTGCATTGAGGCATCGTGATTGACAAAGTTACTCATAGCGGGGTTGTAGACATACTATGTGTTCCTAGTTGGGTTGTAGACACACTGTGCTCCTGTACCAATCCCACCACCACCAGTGTCTTCTTCGCTCCGGGCTTCCGAGGTCTCCCCACCTCCCACCTTTATCTCTCCCTGTTTTAAGGGTCGGGGTGATGAGGGCCTTGGACCAAATCTTTGAGCTGTGGAATTTACCTGGTGGCCCAGGAACAGGGCTGAGGAGAGAGAAGGAACAGCTGGTGCTAGCTTTTATATGGTTAGAATTTTTTTTCTATTTTCTTTTTTTTTAAATTTTTATTTAGTGAGACACCATGAGGTACAGTTATAGACTTACAAATTTTTGTGCTTGGGTTTCAGTTATACAATGATCAAATACCCATCCCTCCACCAGTGCCCATTTCCCACCACCATGGATCCCAGTATCCCTCCCATCCCCCATCCCCCCATCGCACCCTGCCTCTATGGCAGGGCATTCCCTTTTGTTCTCTCTCTCTTATTGGGTGTTGTGGTTTGCAAAAGAGGCAATGGGTGACAATCATGTTTGGTCTATAGTCTACTTTCAGCATGCTTCTCCCATCCTGGGAGGATCCTCTCAACATATATGGTTAGAGTTTTAGGGGCCAGGAAAGAGCCTGGGGCTTGGTGCAGGTTAAAACCCAGGTGTGTGGGGGGCAGGGTTGTTTGATGTTATTTGTTTAGGGTTTGGGGGACCCCCCCGGCAGTGCTCAGAGCTTATTCTAGGCTCTGCTCCAAGGAAATCACTCCTGGCAGTGATTGGAGGACCATATGAGATAACGGGATAGAACCCAGGTTCCTCTGTGCAAGGCAAGAACCCTAACCACTGTACCCACTGTAACCACACGTTTCAGCCCCATGGGTTGGGTGTCTGGTTTATAACTTCTAAAGCTCCACTTGGGGCTGGGGTAGGGGGCTAAATTGGAGTTCTGTAAGGCCAGGGTTAGCCATCCAACTTTTTTTAAATTTTTTTGGCTTTCTGGGTCACACACAGCGATGCTCAGGGCTTCCTCTTGTCTTTGCACTCAGGAATTACTCCTGGCGGTGTTCAGGGGACCCTCTGGGATGCCGGGGATTGAAGCTGGGTGGGTCATGTGCAAGGCAGACGCCCTTCCCGCTGTGCTATCGCTCCGGCCCTATCCATCCAACTCTTCTTGATTGCTGTCCAAGCTTCTTACCATTCAGAAGGAGACACTGAGCGTTTCCTGTGTGTGTGGTGGTGGTGGAGGAGACGGGGCTGTATTCTAATACAGGAGAGAAAGGGACCGAGAGAAAAGAATCTTGCTGTTCTCCGAGAACTTACAGCCCTAAGAGGCAAGAGGACTTGCTGTGAAAAATGATTTCACAATCATCGGGAAGGAGAGAAAACAAAATTACAAAAGTGCTATGATGTGTTAACCTAGGGTGTTATTGGGAGGGAGAACCAAGGAGTGGAGAGCAGAGGGAATGGGCGTGGGTATCTTGGACTGCTTTTGTCTTTTTTAAAATTTATTTTGCTTTTTGGGTCACACCTAGTGATGCACAGGGGTTACCCCCGGCTCTGCACTCAGGAATTCCTCCTGGCTGTGCTCGGGGGACCATATGGGATGCTGGGAATCGAACCCAGGTCGGCCGTGTGCAAGGCAAGCGCCCCCTGCTCTTGTCTTTAATTTGGGGGGGGGGTGGTTACACCTAGCAATGCTCCCAGCTCTGTGCTGGCAGTTGGTCTGGCCAGGGATGCCATCTGACCTGGGGTATGCCAGCAGTGTTCAAGGCAAGTGCCTCAGTCCCTGGATGATCTCCCTGGCCCTTGCTGGTTTTTTTTTTTTTTTTGAATTGATTAGTGGAGTTTAGCTCAAGGAAACCCAGGAATGTCCCAGGTTGATGTGTGTGTGTGTGTGTGTGTGTGTGTGTGTGTATGTGTGTGTGTGTGTGTGTGTGTTTACACATTATCATGTTTCAGGGGTACTCCCTACCTGGGTCTGAGAGCCTCCAGTGAACCATCCCAATCGAGAGATCTTATGAACAGGGTGATATAGTTATCTTGGCCTTCCGGCAACCATCTGCAGAGGCTGTTACTCAAGTGGCTGAAGGAACAGGTATCACTTGGGTGAAGGAGGGAAGACATCCTGGGGGGGGGGGAAGATTTAGGGAGCATGATTCAAAGGGTTGGAACATTTGCTTTGCATACATATTTTTTCCCCCATACCCAGTGGTACTCTGGGCTTACTCATGGCTCTGTGCTCAGAGATCACTCCTGGTGGGGATTGGGGGATCGAACCTGGTTCAGCTGCTTACAAAACAAGAGCCTTACCCACTGTGCTATGGCTCCAGCCCCTGCATTCAGGAACTTTGCATTCAATTCCCAGCACAGCCTGATCCCCTGAGCACTACACCGGGAGTGCCCCCAACCTCCCCCCCACCCCCGCCGAAAAAAAGCAACTAAGATCCGGAGCTGAGATTTGGAGCTATTGGTCAGCAGATGACTAGACAGAAAGACAGAAATCAACCACCAGCACAGAGCTGGCGGCACTGCTGGGTGTAACCACCCCCACACTCGTTCCTGGAGAGGATCTGGAGAGATAGTGCGGGGCGTAAGGCACTTGCCTCATACGTGGCTGAGCCTAGTTCAAATCCCGGTGCCACATATGGTCCCCTGAGCAAAAAGTCACGAGTAATTCCTGAGCACCATTAATGGCCCAAAGGAAAGAAAGAAAGAAAGAAAGAAAGAAAGAAAGAAAGAAAGGAAGAAAGAAAGAAGAAAGGAAGGGAGGAAAGAGAAAAAGAGAAAGAAGAGTCAGGAGACTTGTGAGGGAGGAGGGAGAGGGCCTTTATGTCGGGAGTGGTGTCCAGAAGAGCTGACTTTTGTTGGAGTAGAAGGACCATGTTGAGGGACGATGAGAAATAAAAACAAGTCAGGGAGACGCTCAGTGGGTTGAGTTCGGGCTCTGCATGTGGGAGGTCCGAGTTCAGCCCCCTGCACCGCATGGCTCCCTGCCCACCCCCCACCCCCCAGTCCTAAGCTCAGTTCTGCTTGAGCTTATTTTGGGAGTGAGTTGCCATACTCAGCAGTGCTCAGGGTCTACTCCTGGTTCTGGGCTCAGGGATCAGCCCTGGTGGGCTTGGGGGACCCTATGCGGGTGCCAGGGATTGAAGCTGGGTCGTCACGTGCAAGGCGAGAGCCCTTCTGCTGTACTCTCTCTCCGGCCCCAGCCCACAAGTTCTGGGCAGGAGGTTGCCCCCAGAACCCCTGGTGTGGCCCCCAAACCAAAAGAAGATTGTAGAGATGGAGGGAAGTGATAAAGAATCTTGAATGTGTTCCAGTGGAGG